AATGTTAACATTCTCGTAAAGCATTTCTTGACCAACAGAGAGAACTTTTAAAAATGATTTATAATTAAATAATTATTTAAATATATTAATTAATAAACTAATATAGTTGTAAAAGAGGAGCCTATAAGAGACAAAAATAAGCTTGTTTTTATAATAGAATCATATACACCGAGATGTTTATGTTATAAACATAAAGACATTTTGATGTGTAATTGTTTTAAACCGTAAAATAAAAGAAAATTAGAATATTTTTTTTAAATTTTATTAGCTTATTTCTTTACAAAGATCATTGTAAACTCTGGTATGTTTGTTTTTATTCTATGTTAAGAATAACCATTCTCGGCGTTAATTCTTAAAATAAATTGTATAAATCACTTCAAACATATTTAATTCTAGCAATTAAGTAATTTTTATGTTTCTATACCTGGAGGATGATTAGTTAAATCTGCCAGTTTACAACCTACGTCACGAATCCCTCCACAGTGCTAAGAATATCGATAAAGTGCTGGTTCAGCTTAGTTTTCTTTTTTCTTTATTTTTCCTTTACAAATTTGACATTGGTATAAGTACTTTAACAATGTTTTTAGTATGATTTTAAATATTTAACACAATAGAAAGTTTTGCGATAGAGTAAGAATTCTTAATGCCATGCATTAATTTTGAGAGAGGATTGTATACATGTACATTTAAAATTAACAGAAAAGGAATATAAGCATCCCAAATAAGATGAAAATATGTTAATCCCTACAGGCAAATGGATTACTGAGAAAATATAATATATATTTAAAATTATAGAAAGTATAAAAGAAAATAGATATATAACGTTTTTAATAATACAGTTCGATTTGTTAACAAATTTAAATTATATAAATTAAATGAATCGTAATTTATGAGTTTAATTGAGGAGAAAATATGTTGAAATAAAAGATAAAAATGTTATTTTCCGTTATAAATCGCTATTTAACGAAGAGATATTACACTAATGTCACTGCATACTTGTATTTGTTTGTGTTTTCATGGAAGGAAAATCAATAAAGCAATTTTTTCTTTCAGATATCATCTCCTAGACAACCTTTCTTTCTGTCTGCTTTTTACTTCTAATATTTTTCGAAAGTCATTTCTATATAATATTGTTTTTAAATAACGCAATTATGTATGACGAAAAATAACTCATTTTTTTCGTTTCGACACACACTATAAGATATTAATCTATCCTTGAACGTTATATAGAATTAAAAATCCCCTTTTAAAAAAATCTGGTATGATTTTGAATATTTATATTTACTTTTTCTTATACTCGGTGGATGTTTAATTGGCTTCAAAAATCGATATTTAGTCGAGCAAATCGTTATATCGAGCGAGTTGCAAAGCGACTTGGCTACAAATTCGATCGAGTGCGAGTGCACTGGAACTTGGCTAAGCCCATTTGGTAGTTATAAATAACTACTAAACATCTAGAGGAATGCCTCGATTCATTCAAAAGCGAAGACAAAATATAAACTCATGCTTTTACATGTATTTTAAGTGATCATTTTTATACATTCGCTCTCCTAGCAAAACGGTTGCCATGTAAAAGCGATGCTATTTTTTTGCTAAAATTTATGACATATCCGGTTAAATTTATTTAATAAAATTCATATAATATGTTGTTTTATCGATCTACTAAACATTTCTGAATAAATGTGCGTTATATATATATATTTTTCCTCCACTTACTAGTGAGCGAAAATTAAATAATTCTATCGCATGAGCGGTTGAGTAAGCGATTTTATAGCTAGATTCTGATTGTTAATTAAATAGTTTAGCTTTATTTTTACCTAATTCAACCGTCTGTGCATTAATTAGGTGTTATGAAACCTCCAAAATCTTTTTTTTTTTTCTTCAGAGTCGTAATAAAATAAGCATTAAGGACAAGTCGAGCTCTAGTTCTGCTTTATCGTATTTCGAGAGGCATTCCTTGTCATTTTATACTCTGCTCTGACCTATTGCCCCGACAATATCTCGTATGACAACATTCTCTCACAAACAAGTACGGCGAATGTTTGCTTTGTCGAAAAACACGTGGCATATCCAGTTCACAAACTTCTTTACGCCACGCCGTTCGGCTTATATTACTATATTATAGTTTCCGTACGCTGAATGGCGTTAGGGAGGAGTTATATATCTCCATTTGAATAATAATTATTAGGCCCGACACGTTTTGATTTCCTTAACTCGTTTATAAACTTCCATCACGGATTTTAGAGACTAGACGGGGAAAGATCGATTGCTATTTTGCTACTAGATAACTAGTTTCTATTCGAATTAAGCAATTTGTAACAATTACGTCTTTTTTAAAATTACGTAAAAATGGAGATAAATTTTTGTATCACGCATCTAAATCTGTTTTTTATTTCCGCCATGATTACGAACAGAGCGATAGCAAATTAAAGAAGCGTTATATCGTAATCTATTCGTTTTCGTGCGATTATGCAATGTATCATCACTATAACAAGGTATTTTAAATATAATTTTAATGCCATTTAATACTTGAAACTTAGAAGAAAGTTTTTTTTTTTATGCGATTCAAAAATGATTATATATGAAAATAAGCGAAAAATGAGTCATAAATCACCACTTTACGCATGTAATAGACTATAATTCTGTAAAAAAAAATGATATCACTTTTTTCTAGTGTGTTTTTTTCGTATTGTGCAAGATTTAGTTTTGTAAACGTTACGTAAAAAATTCTACTTGGAATATATATATATCAGGAATTAAGTATGTAATTTCTGGTAAGCATAGTCACGAGTTGGATCGTATTATTACTTATTAAACCCAATTTTCAAGGATTTTTCTATAAAAAATCCATTTTAATAAGTACTTTTTTAAGGCAATTTTCAAGGATTTTTTAAAAAAAAATCCTTGAAAATTGCCTTAAAAAAGTTACTCGAACAGAACAAGTAGTCAATCTTCTTAATCACAAACAAAAAAATAATGCGGTAAGCTTCCTAAACTGTAATCAAAAGATTAATCTAATCTTGTAAACAAAGCTTAGATTAATACAAGATTATTAGTTGATGTTTTACAATATACAAATATACAATAACTTTCAAAGTACCTTTCATGAAAACCAAGTTCGGACATTGATTATTAATTAATCAATATTGACGCAAATTGTCTAATTAGTTATAAGAAATTGCAAAAAAAAATGTCATTAATTTATTACATATTAAATCAAGTATTGATTAAAAAAAACATGTCCAGAAAAATCGGTATTTTATATGTCATGATAGATCTTTCTTATCTGCATTGGAAACATTTAAAAAAATACTTTAATTTATTTGACAAGCTCGTTAATTCATAAGAAAAGTAGTAGTGTGACGAACTAGCTGTCGATAATAAGTATTACGAAAAACTTTTAAGATGTATTACATAGAATTCACAAGAAATGCTAGAAAAAAAAAGTGGTTAATCTACATAAGATATTATAAAAAACATTGTAAACACTTCATTAATTAATGAGATATATTGTATTTGTTTACAGTAATTTACAGTTTCACGACAATGAACTCGATCCACGAAATAAACGTAATTTATTTTTATAACATATCTTGGAAAACTTTGTAATAAAATGGAAAATAATTCGCTATTATTAGGAGGAAAAAAAAAAAAAAACATTCTTCCTGTACGAAATAGTTTCCTGTTAACAATTACGTCAATAAAAACAGCATCAAAGCGAATTTTCACTTCCTCGTTGCCATGTGTAAAACAGGTGGAGCGTCAAGGACATTTGCATGTTTAAGGTCACCTTGTCATTGTCAAGGTTAATTTCTAGACGGGCTCACGCTTCATCTAATCAGCCTCCATTCAACAGCAGATACTGACATTGCCCGGAAAATAAACAGGAAACAATACTAAATGAACATTTACTCGTAATTAATTTTCTAAACGTCATCCACCACCTGCTATTTCGTTATGTGTAGTTGCAACAGAAGAGAGTTGTTTCTTACTTAAACTATACTAGTGTAAGCAAGAATTTAAACCCGTCTAGTACTTCGATAACTCGTTTTTAGTTCGTATTACGATGTAGGATGAGATAACATAGTGAAAACTAGTTAAGAGAATACAAAACAAAATTCGCTTTCACGCTCTCTTGGTTATTCGTTTTGCGATTACTGCCCCGGTGATATAATAAAAACATGAAGCTAGTTTAAACGTATTGACAGTTCAATTTTCAGTCTTTTTTTTTGTATTCTAGCCGCGCCACTCCTTTATAAACTTTGTATAGTCTACACCCGGTTTTTGTTATATAAAGGAAGCTCTAATCAAAGTTAATAACCTAGTTGACCTTCATTCGTTTCGAAAAACCTCTACATTCATCTGCGACTGTTTTTCTCTTGTTCTAGACGTGGTCAAAATGAAAATTTTTGTTTTCGTTCTTTTATATGTAAATTTAATCAAATGTCTACCCGTGCAACATTTTTCGACAATTGCATCATCGTCCTAACATAATCAATTCTTGTCAAAATGGAAGAAATTCATTGTCACGAGATGATTTTATAATGTTATTTTTATTTCTATCGAGTTAAATGTATATGGGAAATCTATATTTGTGTCGATTGAGAACAATAACTGATAATATTACAAACACACAAAAAAAAGGATTGCATGATATCATGCTTGGTTAATCGTGTTTTCCGATCATAATAGTATTGGGCGCGACACGACGCGTCGTCGCGCACTCCTTTAATCGTTTTTTTTTATGATGTAAGAAACGGATGTTAAAATTATAATATAACTGAATTAAAATTTGATAAACGAATAATTTAATCATTTATAAAATTATGCGGCGATTCTCAATTTTTTTTTTAAAGACTTAATGACTCTTTACACGCGCTCACGCGAAGCGCGAAGCGACGCGATGATTTCTTCCTCTCATGAAGTTTTCTCTTAATATGTGAGATTTTTGAATATGACCTCATTCGAATCGAAATCAACAACGATGGAATTCGATAATTTTCCCTGTTCCAGTTTCTCTATTTTGCACCGCTTCGTACCTGTTCAAATTGAAAAATTTTCCCTGATAAACAAGTGCGTACGGGTTTCCTCTTTTTTCCAGGCTTTATAACACTCAATGACCCGAGTAGATTTCATTAACGTATTAAGGTCGAACAGCTCACAAAATAAATAAGTAAATAATTATTACTTCATTTTTTAAATCATGAGAGAAAGTTATTAGTCACGTCGCATGCTTACGCGACACGACGCGACTAACAGCTTCGTCTCCACATAAATCTTGGTAGAAAAATGCTTCTTTCTTATTGAACAAGTATTGTCAAACGTCAATTTAGCGCCTCTGTTTGTTCGCTTCTAAAATGGATACTAAATCGAATGTAGTATTAAATTGAATAACCCCAAACGTTAAGATTGGTGTGCAGTATTGGGGTCTTTGGACAAATAGAAATGCCATTTAGAATGCAAAATCGTACATTATCTAAGCTATAGATATGACATTTGGACACTTGAGGATGAGAATCTCTGCGAAAGAATTCTTTATTTATGAGGAGGATCCTTTTAGAAGTATTCATTGCGATTTATAAGGGTGGCTCTATTTAGAACGGCGTTTGACTGTATCTTGCTAGGAATAGATCTAAAATTAATCATTATTTTTAACTGGAAACATAAAAGAAAATATGTTTTATATTTATAAAAAGTTAAAACCTTCTTGAAAAAAACAGCAGGTTCTAAATTTCCCAATGGAATTAAACATGTTCTATTCACATAAAGCTTTTATTCACCTTCTCTAGTTCTAAATCATCGCATCAGTATCAAGAGAGCAATTCTAGTTTCTCAGAAAAGTGGACTTGAAACGACCAAAGTCATTAATTTCAGTAAAGAATCTTGTTTCATTTAGGAAAAGGAAGAAAAGAAAAAAACACAAAAAGCAAAAGTGTAGTAGAACTTGAACTCGACGATCTCGTAAAAGCAATTTCAATGACCTTTTTCCTTCATAGTTTTGTTAATGTCGCAGAATTTCCGTATTGGATATGGGCCAAGTTAGTCGGGGTATTGTCTAAAAATTTGATGTAAGCATCTTTAATGTGATTACTAAACGTTACTTAATCTATAAAATAAAAATCATTAAATATTATGAAGAATCGAGTAACCTATCTGTTTGCCCCCATTTTATATTAAGTAAGCATTTTTTTTATTATTATAAACATCGTTAACTGTATTCTCTTACGTGATTTCTGTAAGGTAAAAAGAAAAGAAAAAAAAAAAGGTCATTAGAGTCCGGTTTCTTGCCACGAAAATCCTGATCCTATGCATTTTACGCTTTCGAACTTTCATATCTAGTTATAAAAAAAGAGGTTACGAGTAAGTTAACGATAGAAAAACGAAGCTAAAAAATTTCTAAGTGGAAAAAAAACACACACCATCATCGATCATTGTCAAATTAGTTACTGATTTTAGCCTCGATGCATTTTTGATTATTTTCTTTTCGAGTCAGTTGATCTGTTAATCAAGCTCCAGTTTATCTTTTGTAAGAAAACAGCCAAATGCACTTCTTTCTTTAGTTTCTCCTCCTCCAAACTACATCCAATTCTTCCAGCTTTTGTAGCTTGCCAACAACTCCCCAGTTGGTTGGCAACAAATGTGATTTATTCTTCTATTTTATTATTTATTTTTTTTATATAAAAAAATCTAGATTTAGATTTAAATGGAAATTGTAAACTCTTCTAAAAAAACTTAGTTTGAAGAGTTGAATATTAAAATAATATTTTTTAAGTGAGGCGTTTGCGGAAATTAGATTCGCATCGTCTGCATTGTAAAAGTTAAAGAAAAAGAATGAAGAACAATGAACGATAACAATAGATTAAAAGAAAAACATTGTAATTATGTCTAGACAAAACAATACTAAAAGCATATTAAAAAAATAAGTGGAAGTCTGGGAAAGTAACTCGTTTAAACTTTTACTTTTTAATAGAGAGAGAGGGGGGACCTTAAGATAGGAAGATCTGCAGGCCTCTTTTTTGAAAGCTTAATTTAGTTTTTTGTTTTATTTATGATATAATTGAAATACTTATGATCTCTGTATTAAAAAAATATATATATATATACGTGAGCCGTTCACAGCCCGGTACTTGTAAAATCTAAGTGACTCGTACAACATGGAATTCATATGAAACGGAATTATCAACAGTGTTATAGGGGAGTCGACTGTATTCTAGCTAACATAATATTAATGTTACAATACTAATAAACGTAGTCTAATATTATTTATAGGTTTAGTATTAAATCTGTTTATTTCTCTTCGTGTCACGATAACTTATTTGTTAGATAACGTTTGTTCTATAACTGATAAACTGGTAGCAAGGCAAACATTTGACCTACTATATGGAAAAAATAAAAGAAAAGGTTAACTATACTAAGTTAATGATAGACTAAACTTACCAGAAGGCAAGCAACTCTATGCAAACTAATTACTGTATGTATAAAAAGAATAGTAGGAAGCTATTTACAGATGTGTAGGTTATTAAAAAACGAAATATTTCTATTATTTATAACTTCACTAATTAATAATTAATGATAATAATAATAGATGTTTTCTTTTTATATATTTTTGGCACCATAGAAAGAAACCAGATATTCATTTTTCTAAATTAAGTGTGAAAAGTTCCAGAGTTTTAACGTTTCCACCAGGAATAACCGAACAGATGACCTAAAGAGTTAAGTAGGTCTATAAAGGTTTCATAGAAGAGGCACCGTCTGTAGAAGTAGACTATAAATAGACTACTCGCTTCCATCTTCTGTTTTTACACTCGACTAGACCTACAACTATTTTTTTCTCTCTCTTTTTTTTCTTTTTCTTTTCTTATTTCCCTCGCACCTGTTGTGTAAACAAGCGGATGGAGGTCGACGCTCCGTCTAGTATCGAGTTGATTGACTTTTCTTCCTTATAGTTAATCGAAAATGACAACTACACGCTCTCTATTCTTCCGCTTCTGGTCAAACAGCGAAACAAATGGGAAGAATGCCACAAAAAATTGTTTTCCGGACGAACTGAGCCAATCGGATTGTTTCCAAAACTTGACTGTTGAAGAAATCTATTATAGTATAGGGTCTACTTTAGTGTTTTCCACGTTGCAACACGTAACGTGTTGCCGGTAACAAATTGAATTTTTTGGAGCGGGACTATAATCTTAAATACGAGTATGGATTTCAGTGCTGTAATTAGAATCTTAAGTGTTTGAGGTAGACTACTTTAACCACGTTTTGTACCCGATTGTCACATCTTTGTTACGGTATTGATGAATTGATGAAATATATAAAATTATAAATATAATATATAATATTTAATCTAGATAAACTGCATAACATAGTAAACGAGTTCAACAAGTATTTTCCTACTAGACAGCCGCCATTCATTTAATATTTTTTTGAACTTTCCCTCTTGTCAAACTACGACTCGTTCAGAAATAGATCGATTGTTTGATCTTCGTTTAACACGTAGAAAAACATATACTCGTAATTATTTTAACATATATTTCCGTTTTCGTATGATGAACTGTTTTATCTGATGACTTATTACCCGGAATCACGCCCAAACGGTTCTATTTTGGCAAGATGCCTGCGTTATTTTCGGGGTTACGCGGAAAAGCACGTGGGTTGGATGGCGGTTCGAGAGTCTTGTCCCTTCTACGATACCGTCGTTTAACCTAGTTTATTTAAGAATGCCGATTAAAAAGAAGAAAAAAAAAGAAAGGGAAAAAAACATATTTTGTTATGAGTGGCGCGGCCGCGAACCTATAGACCTATTTATAAACCAGACGCCATTTTGTTCTTAGTCAATATGCGTGACGAGTGATGTAAGCTCTCGACGGGAGATCGTTCGTTAAAAAGGCTTTGTCACCGGCTGTATACAAACAATAGAATCATTATTTAATTAGTAAAAAAAGCCTTCCTTTTTTTTATTTTAAAATTCTCCGAAACAAATTGACAGATTTAGTATTTTAAATATATAAATTTGATTCCTTAATCCGTATCAATTGGCAAGTTTATAGAATCGGTTGCAGATTTCTAATAATTCAGTCTTCTCGGAGATATATTTTTCCCCCTTTTTGTATCGATCAAATATTTAAAATGGTATGCAGAGTACAAAGATGAAAGTACGAAGAGATGATAAATCTCAAATGTCACTCTTAAGTCCTATTTTATTGTTTAAAATTACTTCTCGACATAATTTACATTCCAATATATAAGACTTCAAATTTCTTATAAGGAATTTTAAAGTTTTATTAAGATAAATCACATCAATATCATGCTATTGGATATGCAAATAAAGACAAGAGCGTTAGACGTGTCGACATGTTCTTTTCGAATGTAATCCTTATTTGTCAATCGCAGAAATAACTCATTGTATATAGAAGTGGGTCTTTTCTTAAGTAAATAGACACTATGGAGTTAAATTTTTTTTTTCCAAATATAGACATTTGGCCGAAATAGTTAATTTTCTCCGCTGTGTGACTCGACAGTAAGACATTTTTATGAACTTACTCATCCGGGAAATTCCTGTTTGGTTAGAAAATAATTTTTGTAAGTTTATTTGAAAACTTGAAAAATATCATTTTATATTTCTAAAAACAAATATAAAATACTAGCAATTGTTTGCTCGAAAATCACGTTCGATACAGTGATTTTTATAATAGAAATATATTGTTTTACTTTCTACGAAACGAGAAAATTAGGTCAGTCTGCCCAGACTCGGGTCATTGACTGATTCCAACATGTGCGCGACCCAGTCTACAGATAAACAAACACACTATTCTATTTTCATGCACGTTGTAGTTGTTTACGGATGCTGCAATTCCGTTGTACAGAGGAAAGACATGACAAAGTATGTGTATTTTTTATTTTTCTTTTCATAATAATTATTTAACAAGATTTAAACAATAATATTTACTCATATAAAATGATGAGTTTGGCAATTTACACCTTTGTCTTGAATCGCCATTTTCGTAACATGATATGCAAATTCTGAAGAGCTAATGATGTTGAAACATGATTAATTAATACACAAAATAAGCTTACTAATTTAACAAAGGAAAAAAAAATGTATTTTTATAAGCAAAAATTTAATAATTTTTACCGAAAATATTCTAATAATTCATTTTTACAGTTTGAGTTAGAAGGAAAATGACTATAATCTGGTGATTTCCGCCGGATTTTGTGTTCGTAAATTCTACAAAACTAAGTCTAGTTAAGGGGATTTTACTGTTAACGAATATAAACGTGGTAATTCCACATAAAAATAGGAAAATACGATCGATTTCATATAATTTACATAGCGTTAAATAAAGAAATTTTTATGCATAATAAGTCATAAATGGGGATATTTTTTTTTGTTAAGTATTCTCGAAACAAATTAAAACAAACGGAAATTTCTCGACACTAACTCAACCTTAAAAAACTACATCTTGTTTTTTTTTAATTCGCATTCAAACTTTGGTATTTTAAGCTCTCCTTCATCTAAAGATACTGCTATAATGCTTATAAACATTACAAAACCTCTTAAACTTATGAATTTACTAATTAATCGTATTAAAAATAAAGAATTTAGCATTGCATGGTTAATAATAATAATAATATATAGTTTTAATTGTAAATATTTTGCAAGCGAAGAAAATCTTGCTTTTTATTTTTCTATACTTGTAAGAGGAAGTAGGTTATTTTGAGTACAAACGATAACTAATTTTCCAAAGTAGGTACTTATTTTTGCTTAAAATTTTGTAGAACGAACGAAAACAAATATATCTGATGGTCGAGAGATGTCTTAAATGCGATTACAATGATATAATTGACATTTTCTTCACATCCTATTTTGTTGTGTGACAAATGGGTCAGGGACTAGGTAATATATGTTTTATCAGAAATCTTTTTTAGTAGATTGTTTTCTCACTAAATCACAACCACCCACTAAATGCCAAACAAGAATGAAGTAAATACTGTATTCAATTAATCCACCCTTTACCCCAGAGCAAACGACTTGAGAATGTTCTATTAGTGTTATCTACTCTTCGCTCGTGTTACAATTACAGTTTTTGGAATTACTCTTTACTTTCTCTTGTTTACACGATAACAGTTACTCAGAAGCGTGATAAATTAAGCAAATGAGCGGAGAAGAAAATATAAATGACCTCGCGATGTCCTCTCTGCCACGATTGCGTCTTGAGGGTCTATCGACCATGTGCTACATTCAAAGTAGAAGAGATAGGTTTTTCCCTTAATTTATTCACGAAATGCCAATTTAAAGTTTCTGGATAAGTAATTTTATAATTTATTTTTTGTATAAGAGAAAAATAAAAATAGAAATTATCGCCTCTTTCGATACTGTAATTTTATAAAACTGAAACCGTAGAAGTGATTTTACTGATAAAATTTGATGCTGTTAATTGATAGATATAGATAAATCTTCTAATTTTAAATCGTGGCTTTAAATTATAATAATATATTTTATCTGCTATTGAAGTCTGTGAAGAGAGAGAGCAAAGATTTTAAGGATTAAACCAGAAAAAAGATAGGGTTTCTCGGGTCTTCTATTCCTTCTTCCGATGCTCTTGATATATTACACGTTTATACATTTGAAATTAAATAAATTTATTTTTTAGACTTCTCTTAATACTCATATATTAATTCATCTTTTGTACTTCTAATAATACCTTTATTAGCCTTTATTACACTGTTTAACAGCCAAATATAAAACTCACAACTTTTCCAGTTCAATTCTGGAAATGAGTATTATGTAATTATAAATATTATATATAAATAATTCACT